CGACGCTCTCTATATATAATGAAGAAAACACTTTTGTTTATAAGCCATGAGTTTGTGTGTAGCTTAAAGGGAACCTAAAAAAAAAACAAAAAACAAAAAAAACCTCCGCGGCCTGGCCTGGGGTTCCTTCCCGCTTTCCTTTCCAAACGTGTCTTGTCCCATCTGCCCTTGGCAGCCTCGCTCCAGCTGGCTCCAGCCAGGCCCACCTCCTCCCTGGTTCTCAAACTCAGCCCCTTCTGCTTCTAAACATGGACCGTCTCGCATGCCTGCCAAAAGGCTCTCCCCTCAGCTCTTGCGGGGCTGGCTCATGCTCCATGGGGATCTCAGCTCAGAGGCCCTTCCTCAGAGGCCCTGCCCTGTCTGAGTTGGTCTCAGCCAGTCTGTTTCCTGATCGTCGTGGCCTTTAGCACAACTGCTCCTCCTCTGCCTCCAGCTGCATGCAAGCTGCATTGAACGAGGTCTGGTGTACAGTAGGTCCTCAAGGAATATTTGATGAAGGAAAGAAAGAATGAATAACTCTCGACGAGGCACACCTGGGAACACAGAGTAATCACCTGAGGAGTATTTTCAATTCACGAGGGCCTGTTCCCCCTCCGACGTGGCCCTCTCCAGTGAGAACCCCACCCCTCTTTTGGTTGTTGTTGGTGGCGGTGTTGGCGGCGGTGGTGGTGATGGCGGTGGTGTTACTGGTGGCGGTGTTGTTGTCGTTGTTATTGGTGTTGGTGGCGGTGTGGGTGAGATTGGTAATTCCCTCTCCTGATGTTCCTTGCCTCTCCAGGTGTCCACCATTCTGCCTGAGTAATATTTTAATCACGGAAATGTAGAGTAAATGGCACCAGACTTAGGGCGCCTGGGTTCAAGGTCAAGTTCAGTGCATCCTGATCATTTGACCTGAGGCAGGTCCCTTAATGCCTCTAGGCTCAGTATAATTTGGGTCATTAAACTCCATTCGCGCTCCCTTATACAGTTGTGGAGGGTCGGGTAGGAGAGAACTTAGGAGCATGCCATGTGTTTCAAAGAATTCACACACTTAACACGTAAGCTGTTGACCCTGTTGACCCGTAAGCCGCATGTGTAACACAGGGCCACGATCCTCCCAAGGAAGGAGCCAGGGCTTGGGCATGAAGTCTACGGTGGGAGCAGGCAATCGTGAAGACACCTTAAGGTGTCTAAAGGCTCCCTGAGCCTCAGGGTCTAAAAGAGGCCTGTGGCGATTTGCACAATGATTTGTATAATACTTTTTGCAAGTCCTGTGAGGCAGGCGGGAAGGGATCATGACCCATAATACTCCTTCCTCCAACCATCCTTGGCCTCTTTACCTTCACATCCTCCCTGCTGGAGAAAGGGTGGGTTGGGCTCCTCCTGGGGGCCCCTGCTGCCATCCCCTCTTTCTAGGAGTGTGTATGGGGTTGACTCAGAGCTCGGGTGCCGCGCTCTGATGGCTGGCAGGCCTGCAGCGTGACAGCTTTCACAGTCGAAACCATTAGAGGTTATTCCTTTAATTCGTTGTGGTTGTTCTCGCTCCTTCCTTAGAGAAACCTCTGATTTTCACTTGCGAGACGCTTGGCTGCCCTTGTCATACTCTACAAGGCGATTTCAGTTCTCCAATGCCAAAGAGCCTTTTCTGCTAATCAAAACACAGCTGCAGAGGCCCGCGTGATCTGCTAATGGGCACCCCAGCTCGGGGGGTATGTCTGTCTGTACCTGGGAAAATAGATATAATTAGGATAACAGATATCATATGCATATGCAAATGCAGCAGGTAGAAATGACTAGCAACGAGAAGCGGCTTGACTTTGCCAAATGCCGTCAGACCAGCCGCGTGGCTTAGGCAGAGGCCCACGCCGTCGCCCCCAGGCCTCCCCCAGGACCAGCTCCAGTGCCCTCTCTCCATCCCCTCTCCTCCCCTGTGCTGGACCCCTCCTGCAAGTTCTTTTTCTTTTTCTTGGAAAAATAAATCTCCCTCCTTTTCTTTCTTTTTTAAAAAAATTTTTATTTTTCAGGCGAGGCAACCCTTGGTTGACCTCACAGATTGTAAGGACCTTGTCAGCTTACAATCCCTTATTTTTTATTATTTTCCTAGGTGGTCTCCCATCCAAGTACTAACCAGGCCCGACCCTGCTTAGCTCCCGAGATCAGACGGGATCGGGCACGTTCAGGTTGGCGTGGCCGTAGAGCCCCTCGTTTTCTGAAGAGGCTCTTCCAAGAGCCCCAGAACTTATGAGGCTGCCGGGGTCCCAGCATCCGAGAGGTAAGCGGGGGACAGAGCGACGAGGAGAGAATGAATACTATCCATGTTTTACCTTTAGTAACGGTTCTGTCCCCAGAAACAGCACGGTGACCACAGAGGACCTGACACATCGTTAAGACCAAGTGTCTTTATTTGAAGATAATCACTCTATGAAGGAGGGCTTGGAAGCTTGATGGAGGTGTCGGAGGCCGGGGTTCCAGGGGTGTGTCTGTCCCTTCCCAGTGTCGTGAGCTCGGGCAAGTGACTTACCGCCCTGTGCCTAGCGTCCCTCACCCTAAAGTGGGCATAACGACAGCACCTACCTCGAAGGGCCTGGCAAGCCCTAAGCTCTTGGACGATGTCATCCCTTGTGATGGGTCCGCGGGAGGGTGAAGAGCGCCTGGTGTCCTCGTCCCGCCGTATCATTCCATCCAAGCGCCCTTGGGCGAATCATTTCTCCTGTCTGAGGCTCAGTCTCTCCTCATCTGTAAAACGGGCTAATAATGCCTGCTTTCCTGGGCTGCTAAGAGGACCAGACAGACGGTGGATGAGTGTCACGGTGTTGTGTAACAGTGAACAACAGATGCTGGTTTTGTCTGTGGAGTGATGGTGTCTGCACCTTTGGGGACCCCTGAGTCTGATGTGATGGGGAGAGTCTCGTTTGTGAAACTCTGGGTCTGATAGGGTTGGAAGAGGTCCCTGAGCCCACGCAGTCCATCAGAAGGGCTACGAAACTGTGCGGGCACACAACACGCTCACGCCTACCAGGCTGTGCAGGATTCAGTGTGGGCATCCAACTCCACCAAGCCACGCGGGTCCGCGTGGAGACATCCGGCTTTGTGGTTGGGGTTGGGACCTAGGCCTTTTTCATTTCTGGATTCTCTGTACATAACACAGTGCCCAGTGTGTTGTAGACGCTCAAGAAATATTGGTTGCCCAAATCAATGGATGCCCAGGTGCTGAATCACATTGTAAACTTATTTCTCTGCCCTGTGGGTGGAGTAGACAGCTGTCACAGCCCTGGTCCCTCTAGCAACGGTGAGGATGATACAGTGCATTGCAGACAGACTTTGGAGTCGAAAGCACATTCACCTCTCAGTTCTGCCACATACTTGCAGTGACCTTGTTTGAACTTCAGTTTGACAGAACGTGCTAAACTTCAGTTTGCCTCATCTGTAAAGCGGGGATGAAAACAAGACCTCCTTTATGAGGTTATTGTACAGATTCTTTAAACCTGTATGTGCCGGGGTCTGGCGGGTACGGAAGACGGAGGTAGTAGAATTGAAACGGGTCTCCCTGTCCCTTCCCCTCCGACCTCCTACACAGATTCTGGGGCTGTTTCACAGCCCGTTCGGTCCCGAACCCCACAAGTGAATCCGATCCTTTATCGAATCGCGGCATTGATGTTTTTGATTTCGTTGAAGGCATCAATATTTGCTCAATAGTACAAGTCTTAAATAAGCATCTAACCGACATATTAGAGATGACGAAAGTCATTTCTGCAAAAAAGGTTATGTCACACGATTATGTTTCCATCGTCGTCTGGGGCCTCCGTAGTCGGCCAATCTCCGCAGCCTCTTAAAGGATGACATTAGTCCTGATACTGTGTGAAATGACGAGTTCCTCAGGGTAGGTTTAGTTTTAATAGTGTATGTCAGCAGCAAATGGCTTGGAAGACCCAAAGCACAGCGTGGGCTCTCGCCAAGGCGATGATATGGGTATATTTAATATCTATATTAAAACGCTTTTAGGCGCCACGGTGATATTGAACGGGATAGTTAGACACATGCAGGCGAACCCCTTGGGTTTATGGGGCACGAAGCAATGTGCATTACAGAAACCTTTCGAGATCGTTCAAAGTCAAATCTGAGCTTCAAAAGTCTTTGACAGACATTTGACCCCGGTAGTAAGATACTCTGAAACAAGCTGGAAGAATAAAATCTCTTCGTTTATTTATTTTTTATTTTTAGTTTTGGTAAGTCTACTGATAAGCTTGCTGCGCTGTTAAAATGTTTAATCACTTGCCTCCAGCAAAGAGCAACCTTCCACCTGAAGTCACAATTTATTAGAGCGCCGAGAACATCCCGGCTGTTAACCCAAAAGATGGCCAGGGGTCCTTAGAGGCAAAACGAACCACAGCTCAGAATCACGGATGAAAGGATTGAAAACAAAAAATTGGTTTGGAAGTGATCTCAGGGAAGATCGTGTAAAACCGACACCACTTTCCTATTCCCGATGCACGAGGTTCAATTGTAGAGTTGTCGCAGGTCCGGCCTGAGCCGAGAAGGGGCCCAGGCCTGCACGAGGGAGGGGAGACGGGGCAGCAGGGGACAAGCATGCTTGCTAGGGACATATACCTTCCAAGAAGGGGCGGTCCTCTCTGCCCCAGGGTGTGGTCAGAGAAGCCCAGACCGGAAGAGCAACGAACAGA